TAAGGTTTAGTTTAGTTACGTTAGTTAGTTAGTACTTACTTAGTTAACGTAGTACGTAGTACGTACCACACACTACACATATATATATATATATATATATATATATATATATATATATATAACTACATATACAGACACTCACACAGTATCGATAATGATATTTTGTTATAAATAAATGGTAGTGTTGACGTGTTTAAAACAGTTTTTTTTTCTAGTATAGCTAGCACTTTTGGCAATATTTTTAAAGTAATTAGAATCCATATACCATTCTAAAATTACTTCACTTTCAGTTTAATAAAATTTGTTTTTGACATAAAAAATCAAATGTATTAGTTTATTACTATTCTGCATTAATAAGGTTCTTAATTAATGGACCTTCCTTGGTTTAACTTGTTGTTTATAACTTTTTCCTACTACCTGTAGAATGTACTGGGATTTAGGTTATGCTGTTATAAATGATATGAAACTTTCAATTATCCAGCTGCTGAATAGGTCCTAATATGATGAAAAATGACTGAATAAGCCAGGTACCAAATATCTGTAACAATACAAGTAATTAAGAAGTATATATAAAAGCATTTAAAAAGAAATGTAGATAGCAGGTTTATTAGGCAATATATAATATAATTTAAATAGGGAAATTAGCCTACACTTTTATAAAACAAAATGACATGTACCAAGTTTATTTGTAGCTCTTAAAATTTCAAGTAATTCTATAGAAAACACTAGAAAAATTTCTGGTTTTATTGATAATACAATATGATTTAATATTGTGAAGTTAACCATATTATTCTAAGTTTTCAGTGTCTATGCAATGAGTGATTGTAATGATAGAAAAATCCAAATATAGACATATGGAATGAGTTTAGTAGAGTATGACCGGTTCTTTAAATTCCTGTTTTTAGCTAACTCAAGTTCAAAAACATCTTGAAGAAACTATAAAAGGTCAGGAGAAACAATGGAGAGCAAAATTAAGACAAGTTACACAGGAGCATGCACTGGAACTTGAAAAAGTAAGTGATAGTATGGTGAAAGAAAAATGTTTTTTTTTTAGTAAGTTAAGTTTATTGTTATTTGAGGATACAAATTTGTCTTCTGCATTTTGCTAAATGTAAACAGGTACAACATTTTTATCATTACATACATATTAACATTACTTATAATATCAGAATATGATACAAACATTAATTCTCTTCCAAGCTACTAAATACCTTTCTGTTCCGTAGGTTTTATCATTTTTGTGTTTCTGCCCACTCTTCTGACTTAACCTGATTTTAATAAACATAATCTCCTGTTTAATTGTAAGACAAGCTAAAATAATAATAATTAAAAAAACTAAATCGGAATGTTTTATAGAAGGTGACTGAAGACAGATTACATGCATAGTACTTCATACTGGTTAACTAAGAGTAATGGGCCAAAAGCTGTGATTTGATTATTATTTTTTTGCCTGTTTGAATAAAACTCTTTCAACATAACATGTGGTTTAATCCTTTGTGACATCTTGATAAGCTGTTACTCTCCTGGAAGAGAACTTTTATGACACAAAGTAAATTGTAGAACTTCTTACACACATTTAAGAGGTTTTCATACTTATTTTGAATACTTTTTACAACTTCTTATAGTTCTATAACTTTAAAATGTCATTCAAACTTGTTGACATTGTATTGCTTTTTATAGTCGAAAGGATATTTAGTGTTTATCTAACTAATGTATATTCTAATTATTATCATGCCAAGCAGTACAGTAAGGGTTTGAATATGAATAAAATGCTTATCACTTTTGTGTATACATATACAGTGTACAAGTTGTATTTATTCCAGCCAACATGTGTCTTTGTTATTAATTTACTGTTCTTTAATTATCATACAGGGATGTGCAACTTTTGAAAAAAGCTTCTTGTCCAAAGTACAAAATGCTGGAACAATCTATTTGTCCTTCTTAACAATCTACTTGCCCCCTCACCATCCCACAAGATAACCACACAAATTAAATATGATTTTCTTTTATTAAACAATGAACAACAATCAAAACTGATGTACTCATTTAATCTGTATTAAAGAGATGCAAGCTTAAAAAATAATAACAGAGTATAGAACAAAGATTAATTACACACTCATATAGGCCTAAAATGTATTCATTTATTGAGCACTAAAACTGTATCTAACCAACAGCCATAGGAGTCTGGTAACAAATAGTGAATTAGCTTCCATTAGTTCATGTCCCCAAGTTGAGAATTATTAACTGATTAAACTCTGGGATTTCTTGTTAGTTATTAAATTCTGGATTTTAAATTCTGTAAGGTAAAGCTATATTGATTAAAACATTTATATATCATAAAATATATTCACTTAATCTTGACTTTGTTTGACATATTTAGGTTACTTTTAGACTACATGGATATATATTCACTTAATCTTGACTTTGTTTGACATATTTAGGTTACTTTTAGACTACATGGATATATATTCACTTAATCTTGACTTTGTTTGACATATTTAGGTTACTTTTAGACTACATGGATATATATTCACTTAATCTTGACTTTGTTTGACGTATTTAGGTTACTTTTAGACTACATGGATATATATTCACTTAATCCTGACTTTGTTTGACATATTTAGGTTACTTTTAGACTACATGGATATATATATTCACTTAATCCTGACTTTGTTTGACATATTCATGTTACTTTTAGACTACATGGATATATATATTCACTTAATCCTGACTTTGACATATTCATGTTACTTTTAGACTACATGGATATATATTCATTTAATCCTGACTTTGACATATTTAGGTTACTTTTAGACTACATGGATATATATTCACTTAATCCTGACTTTGTTTGACATATATAGGTTACTTTTAGACTACATGGATATATATTTACTTAATCCTGACTTTGACATATTTAGGTTACTTTCAGACTACATGGATATATATTCACTTAATCCTGACTTTGACATACATGTATGTAGGTTACTTTTAGACTACATGGATATATATTCATTTAATCCTGACTTTGACATATTTAGGTTACTTTTAGACTACATGGATATATATTCACTTAATCTTGACTTTGTTTGACATATTTAGGTTACTTTTAGACTACATGGATATATATTCACTTAATCCTGACTTTGACATACATGTATATAGGTTACTTTTAGACTACATGGATATATATTCACTTAATCTTGACTTTGTTTAACATATTTAGGTTACTTTTAGACTACATGGATATATATTCACTTAATCTTGACTTTGACATATTTAGGTTACTTTTAGATTACATGGTTGACATTATATTGACAAATACTATATTATTGTTGTAGAAGTTTCTCTTCTTTAATGAAAAGATACTGGACATTTATTTACAATTTAACACAGCTAACTTTAAATAAGGTAATGCATATCATACCACCATCATAAAAATAAAATATTAGTGTTGTTAACACAATAGTACTATATTAACTGAATAGACATTATAGTTTTATTCTGATTCATTCCTTCATGGTTTCAAACTATGTAAGATAAAGCTATTATTATCAAAATGTTTTTATTGTTTTTTTTTACAAATTCAATTGAAATTATTCCAACTTTTACATTATTTAACTGGAAATTTAGATTACTTGAAAAATATCAATAATATTAGGTTTTTATTTTAGCTGAGTACCCAATTGTTTAATAAATGTGGTATGGCTATTTGTTTCTCTTTGTTTATATTACAGATTTCTTTTCACCAAAGGTAAAATTGAAAATATAATCTGTGACATAAAGACCTAACACATTCTTTGGTTTGCTGCACACTCTGCTGTGTACTGAAGTTTTGCCTATTCAAAGCTCATCAGCACAACGTTGGTCAGCAAACCAAAGAAGTACAGAAGGCTTCTTATAATGGTGATATGTATATAATATTTATGAGGTTTTCCCTTTGTTGGTTACAAAGCATTTGAGTAACTGCTTAGTTATAGATATAATTAAAGTTTCAACACTGTTGTAAACATGCTTATGAACATGTAAAACAAAATACTGTTCACAGTATTATTGTAACAACTGATTTTTAAGTGAATGAATCTTTTGTTGTGTCTAAATGCTTAAAAATGCATGAGCTCTGAGATTTACAGTATGCCATATACCACTGCATATGTGTATGGTGTTAGGGTAGACACACTGTAGGTGACGTATTACTGTTTGCATCTTAACTTAATCTGAAGTAATGTTAGATTAGAAATTCTCTTTTTTAATACAATATATAAAGCAGTAGGCATTATGGCTTAAAATGTAAATTTTAAGGAATCATTTGTTTAAAAAAAAACAAATTTTAAAGGCTAGTGCAATCTCTGATATTATATTTACATTCATAATTTACCAGATAGATAAATTTTTATTGATTTTGTGTACATATTTTTGCACAAGTTTAGTAAAAATTGTTAATTTAAAAAGGGGCAATAGTGATCATCAAAAATTACAGAAACAAGTTGAATCAAAATGCAAGGATTGTATTATCAAGCCTGTAACTATGGGTTCTAAAAAAAAGGAAACAAACAAGGCTGGAAATAGTTTCTACAGTACTTATCAATTCACATTTGGATTCAACTTGTTTCTGTTCATATTTGACAATCAATATTCCTCCTATTTCAGTTAACAATTTTTACTAACCTTGTTTCCTAAGTTTTTTATGTTTGTTTATGGAGAATAAATTTTAAGCTACATACATGCATATGCATTCAGTTTAATGTTGCATGTTTTCAACAGTTTACTGCTGCATTGGCTTTTGTTTCCACACAACCACAACACTGAACTAATTCTAAATAAATAATAAGTTTACAACAAAGAATAAACACATGTACTGGTATTCAAACAAAACAGACAAAATGTAAAGTTGTTCTCAAAGGACCATCTTGAAGGCAAAGAATGTATCATCACAGATTTAACGACCAGCTTCCACCAATGTCATAGTATAATGTAACAAAGATGAGCTGCAACAAAATAATCTTACCAGAACAGAATAATGGTTTTTCTAAGATAATACAACACAGATTCATGCAATGTAAACAGATGCAGTAGCATACTTATCTTGTTAGGTCTACGTGAGAAATATGTATGTTCTTCAACAACCTGCTGTGCACAATTGTTTGTGAGAATAAGGTGACATAAATAATGAATGCAAAATAGACAACAGCAACAAAATTCCTGTGTGATCCTACACTACAGTAGATATCACAAGCAATAAATTTATAGTGGAGTCATAATAGGGATTGAGCAAACTGTCAGCAGTAGATCTCCAGCCTTGTTTGCTTACTTTTTGTGACCTATAATTGTAGATTTTAAATTCTCAGTTTTTAATTATCTTGTATGTTTTCTTTTTTAATACACAGCAATAAGCAAATATATATCTAGAGTCAGACATAACCCCCCACCCCCCACCACACACACACACACTAAGTGCATATAAAATTTCACCAGTAGAAAAGCAGCCTTTTCAAATAAAACAAATACTTATAAAACATCACTTTAAATAAAGCTTCATGTCTTTTAAAGTAATTATTTACTGAGGCAGGTGGCTTTGTGCCTGAGGTTTCATGTCAACATGTGCCGAGTACAAAAGCAGCTGTTCAGAACAACATTGCATCTATTATACATTTATAACCATGTAAATCAACTTTCAAGAAAAAATAATCAACTTTTAAGTAGATCATGGACATTCACAGTGCTTGATATATTATATCTGTCTAGGTTTTGGTGCAAAACGCCCAGCTGATTTTGCTGTAGGCTGTTGGAATAATAATATAAACAAATGGGCAAATTTTGATTTTTGTCTGCAATCGTGAAATCACTTATTTTGCTTATTATCAATGTTTGGGTGGTCTTAACTATTGAAAAGGAAGATTTTGAGTGTTGTTTCAAGAATTAATTTGCTTTTTAGGTGGTTTTTGTCTGAATGTTCCATTAGAGGTTTGGTCACGTTTCTGTGTGATCCCTGTTATGAATCACTATTGTAATTCATGAAATATATATATATATATTTCAAATGCAACACTGTTTTAGTTTTATAACACAAATGATACAGTAATTTCAAAGTTGTACTAAAAAAATAAAGTAAAAAAGTATTTGTTGTTCCTGACACATATTGATATCTTGGGTGTTAATTGATATGAATTGCCACTTCTATCATACATGTTTAACACTGTAAAATCTCTTTTGTATCTGGAAAAGGTTTCCACCTTAAAGAAATGTAACCATTAGATTGGTAAAATGAATTTTTAATGCTAATTTTTCTATATTTCTATTTAATTAAGATGTTCAATATTTTCTTGTTAGCTCAACAATGCTTTAGAACAAAGTGTAAAGCACTTGCAGAAAGAAAGACAACAGACAGGTAACCAAGAAGAACACCATGAACGCCAGATTCGGAAGTTGTTGGAAAGATCCCGCAGACAGGAAATGCGTTTGAAAAACCAGGAAAAGCAAATACATGAATTGGCTACTAAACCTGTGAGAAATTTAACTAGTTTTAACCTTATTAAAAGAAATGAACAAATTATTCTATTTGTGTATGAATGTTGATATAGAATGATTAAGTATCCTTTCTTGAGATATTTGTGGAAAAAAAGTATGTTCTTCCTCAGGAGTAAGTGTTTCAAATTATACTTGTCATTGCAATATCACCCCCCAGTGGCTCATCAGTACATTAGAGGGCTTACAGTGCAAATTTAAGGTTTCAATACCTATACCGGGCAGTGCACAGATAGCTCATTGTGCAGCTTTACGTTTAATAACACGTAAGAGATATTGCAGTATCTAGAAAGTATGCATAGTTTTTACATTAATTTATAAGTTTCTGTTACAATATATTATACCTATAAAACTTTTTGATGGGTTATGTAAGTAGTATTATATTGTATTGATTATATGTACTTTGGAATTAACTACCTTGAGATGATGACAGTTTGTATGTCTTGAAGAACCCAACACTTTGTCTTGTATTCATTCAAAATATCTCGTGGGTTCCTCCACCAAAGAAGGGTGTATTATGTAAATACTACATATCTTATTTACCTATAGTATCAATTTTGTACATAATCTACAAAATTCTTAAATTATTAGAAATTATTTTGGAACATACTAAATCTGGTTAAGATTGTGTGTAGAATTTCAGCCTGAGGTGTTACTTTTTGCAGTTTGACCAGTCATGAACTTTCCATATTTTTGTGCCCCTCTACTAATTTGTCATCTGCAAAGAGAATATGCATTTCTCACTCTACCTTCTTCAACCTGCTGGCTGTGTGTGTTCAATTTTATTTTGTTCATTACTTTCTCTTTAAAATAGCTCACTTTTCAACTAAATAATTTGCATATTAATTTAAAATTTTTTCATGATCCTTCTGATCCTTACTCTGAGTAATGAATACCCTTCCTGATCTGTTTTGTATTTAGTTCTTGACAACATGGCAATGTATGTAGTTCATTTCTGATAGTCACATCATGTTGTGCAGATGTGATTACATTATCCAATTCCTGACTTATTGTCAAGCGTAGACTGAGTGTTTTAATTAAATGATACTTTTCTGTTAAGAGTTTGCTACTATGTATCGGTGAAAAGATTTGTTTTGTAAGCCCTTCATAATGTAGGAGTGTAATTTCGAATTTGAAGCATAAATATTTTTTCAGTTGATTTATAGAAGAATAATTCGAAACCTAGAGGAACTGATGAGTCTCTGTGTTTCAGCTTTTCTACTTGCATGCCTTTCAGTAGTTGTCTGATTTAAGAGTTCTTAAGTTGCTTATATATATTCTTTTGATATTTGGTTAAATATGATTGTTTTCTTTCTCAGTTCAAAAAAAAAATACAATTCATATAAGATAACAACTAATATTTATATATTTCAGGATGAATTAAAAAAGTCTTTAGGACTTACTCAATACACAGTATCTTACTAGGAGTACTGTAAACATCTTTTTTGAATATACCAAAACAAATCATTAAACTAATGAATTGCAGTTGTGTATTTAAGTGTAGAAGGTTGTAAGTTACTTCAAATTCATGTAGTATAGTCTAAGATGTTCATTGTTATTAACATTTGTTTGTTTAGTCCATACTACCTCTGTATAATTTTTAATTTCTTTATTTTCTGTATTTATAGGCCTTATCACAGTTTGTCTCTCCTATAAAAAGTCCTCCAACTCCTCCTCCTAGAAAAGGTAACAAAACAATTTAAACTGTATAATTGTGTAGATAAAAATCTTGACTTATACCTTGTAAATTAAAGAACTAACAAAACAATCTAAACTGCATAATTATGTGGATAAAAAATCTTGACTTGTACATTGTAAATTACTTGAAAAATGCTAAATAGGTAAATGATAAAGTTATTGAAATTGTTATATGTTTAAAATTCAGCAATATTTATTTCTATGTATAATGAAAATTGAAAAAAAAAACAGACATTTTATCACTGGGTTTACCATGACATAATTAGATAACAATCCTAGTCAAATAACAAAGTTAAAACAATTAGTGTAAACTACATTTTATCACTGGATTTACCTTGACAACATTAGATTACAGTCACAGTCAAGTAACAAAGTGGAAACGTTTTTGTGTGAATTACATTGCATCACTGGGTTTACCATGGCATCATCAGATAACAGTCACAGTCAAATAACAAAGTTGAAACGTTTATTTTAAGCTACATTTTCTCACTGAGTTTACCATGACAACATCAGATAACAATCACAGTCAAACAACAAAGTTGAAACAATTAGTGTAAAGTACATTATATCACTGGGTTTACCATGGCATCATCATCAGATGACAGTCGGTCAACTTAGAAAGCTTGGGGATTCTTGTGAAGAGGCTGTGAGTTAAGTTGAATAAGATGATCATTAATAGGCATATGTATCCTGTTTATTCAAGGTATGTAATAAAACACAATGGTTATAGACTTGTTAAGAGACCACTTAGGTTGACTCCTGTCTTTGTTTAACATAAAAGTGAGGTTAAATTGTAGTTTTCTTTCTATTGTTTGGTATTTTTGTCATGAAATGGCAAATAATGTAATTGGTTCCTGCAAACCTGTGACAAAAGCTAAAGTCAACAAAATAGATGAAAGAATCATTAACTTTGATGAATCATTGGTAATCAACCATAAAGCTACTTCTTCCATCACAACTTAAACAAGCTGTGTTTTATAGTATTTTGTACATAATACACCAGCACTGAATGAAAACAAAAATTCATGTAGGCCAACTATAAAATTTGTTAAACATTCATTTAGCTTAGAAACAAAAGAAACTCAAATTGAGCGTCCCTGTTGTGGTTTAAAGGTTCATAGAGAAAACAAATTTAAGAGAGAATTTGCTTAGTTTTAATTTTCAAGGTCAAGATGCTCATTAAAGGTATTAAAATATTGAAGCCAAAAGTAAGTTTGCAAACAGATATAAAGGAAAATTTGTTAACCATTAAAGTAAAGTGTGCGAAGTAGAAGTTAATCTGTGTATCTAATTATGTTTGTATTATAGTTTAAATGTGATATAAAAGTGTTAAAATATCAAAAAATTGTTGAGCTTAATACTCTTTTTAATACTCTTTTTATTTATTTTTATATTGACATCTTGTATTTGAAGAAAATGATTTGAAATTCAGTTGGCATTGAATAGCTCTTTCTTTCATTCAAGTCAGCTTGAAAATTTTCTGAAGGATATGAAGCTGAACATTTTATTAAGTTGTTACTTGGTGTAATAAGAATAGACCTATTCGAAGTAACTTTCAGTAAACTTAAGCAGAGTGGTTAGAAAGATTGAAAACTAACAATGTATCAATAAAGAAGCAATACCTTCTCTGGACGTACAACTGATACCCCTGGAAATTCCATATCTGTATCTTAAAAATAAAAATTATTTTTTCCTCCTTGAATAATGAAATGTAAATTCTTTAAATGTATTAGATATCATTATTCTTAGCATCTTTAGAAATCTTATAAGTGCATAATTGACAAATTTTTGATTTCATTTCTAGTTGCAGTTAGTAGTATAGGTGTTGTTGACTGGAAGAATTTTGGGTGGTGAGGAGGGATTATATTAAGCTTTACCTGTGTAAGATTAATAGTTTTACAGGTGTAAATTTGAGTTTGTCTTTTCTTTGATTGATTTTTTCTATCCACTTTGTAGTGTCATTGCCTAGAACTCCCCAAGTATTGGAAAAAGAAAGGTAACTTGTAAAAAATAAATACTGAAGCAATGTCAAGTTTTGTTTAACACAAAGTTGTTTAGATATATTACTGATGAAAGTTGAATGTCTTTTGAGTGGGTCATGTTTTTAATTTTCAAAAGTTGTTATTGTCATATTAGAATAGATATAATATATACCCAGTTGAAGGATGAATGGGATAAGTAAAAAGGCATAATGTACTCATAAGTAATAATATTAACCATAGGTAGGAAATAAAAGTTGAGGAAATGTGTCCTGCTATGTAATACATTCTTGTTAACATTCTTAAATGTAAAAGATATAAATACTTGCTTAGAAAACATGAAGATAAGTAAAATGAAGCCTTTTTATTATCAAACATTCTTTCAAAGTTTATTAAGTTTAAACGTATTGCTTATACTATATTCATTCACATTCCTTAGTCTGATCTTGAACCCACACTAGGGTTGTACAGGTATTATTTTATGTAAAGTGAAATTCAGTCTTACTAACTCCATGCTACATGTTAATGACTAGTATTATGGCATAATATTGAAGATAATTATGTTCTTTAGTATAAGTGTTTATGATTATTCTTTCTCTTAGACATACACAACGGTTTCCATTTAAATATAGAATAAGTGTTAAGTTTAGTTATTTTTAGAAGTGATAGTTTATCATAGGTTTGTTTATGTAACTGTGTATGATTCATATGTTGTGTAGTTTAATTGTTATGAATTGGCACTTGTGTTATTGTGTCATGTTACTGGAACCTTCTATGTTTTTCTTGTTGTTTTGATTGAGTATCATTGCATTATAATATCTCATAGTGTGTAGAAAGTTCTTGGCCTCAGTCAGGCTGTGAATATGTCTACAAAATGTAGTTCAAGGATATAGTTAGACAGAGTTAATGAGATAGATAAAAAGATGCAGACTGCATGATTGTGAGTTTAGCCATAAAGAGTGTATAGTGGCAATTTCTAAAGTGAAATTATCACAGATTGTATTGTAATAACAAAGAAGAAAAGAAATAATTTGTCTTGTCAATTGGGTTTTAAAGTAACTAAATCAACCTGTGTGGACTTTGACAAAAAGAGACAATTAATTAAAGCTCTGGATACAACTGTAATAACCAACAGTGTAATGAAAATTTGTATGTATGTTTGACTTGTTTTAATATATTATTTTAAAACAAGTGGACTGTGTGCTGTTTTTTATTGTTGACATTTATCGCCAACAAATCACAGACATCTACTGTAAAGAATCCAGCCCATCCATACATGAAAACCTGACACTTTCTAATTATCTGTAACATATTTAGCTGATAGACAAGTTATTGTAGAGTTAAATAGATATGTGGCATAGTAGTGTTTGATAGAGTAAATTCCAGAAAGATATTGAGAGATCTAAAGAAAGAATTATAATAACAGGAGTTTTACACAAGTTAGCGTTATACTGAGTTGAGGAATTTTATAGTAGTAAGTGAGTTTTACTCTGAATTTTCTAAATGTAAAATCTAATTAATGTTTAGACTTCAGTGATTGACTTTTTTTTAAGAGTTTGTATACTGATTAAGTTGAGTTCAAGTTAAGAGTAGATAACTTTATAAACAAAGTCAAGTGTATTCAGTATTGCATTTATTTTGAGATAAGTTAATTTTATACTCCTCTTAGGTAATATTACCACATAATTATGTTGAATTATGGAACACAAAGCAAAGCAGCATTACAATTGTATTGTTTACTTCTGTAGAATACCAAATTCTTCTGTTTCTCAGTACATCTGTGAGTGTTCTGTGAATCCCTAGTGAATCTAGTCAAAAGTCTTATACATAGCATTATAGTTATCAGCATTGTTCAGTTTGTTTTAACATGACAAGATGAAGTTGTTTTTTGTCGACACACTATAATCTGTTTAAAAGTAGCCAGTATCAGAACATTGCATTGGATGTTGTAACATTTAAAAATGAGTGTAAAATATTTATATTGAATATTAACTTTCATGAAAGATTATTTAACTGTATAATTATTTATTTTCTTTTAGTTTCTGAAACATATGAGAAACATTTCACTTTACTTATGAAAAATCTTTCAATGAACCTTTTAAGCAAATGTTCAATATTTTGCTCATATATTGGAATGTATTATTTAAACTATAACACAAACCTGTACAGACATAAGGTTATCAATTTACTTTTGAATTAATGCCTTTTTTTTCAAATTTCATTCTGACTACTTCTGTTGATTAACTTTAACTTGTAATATATGTGGTTATGAGCAGGGAAAATCAGTATGGTTTTGTCAGAAGTGAAAGACTTTTTTATGCTCTTCAAAAGAATCCCAATCTTTTAGAACAATTGAAATGTGATTTAGAGGAGGATGTAGAGGAAATGCTGCAGAAACGAGGTGTCACAAAGGTAAGTTTTGGGTTTCTTGTTTTAGGTGTTTGACTTAAAGTACATTGTATACAATATCTTATTTATATAGTAATTCTTTTTATATCATTTTTACCATATGTTTTCAAATGTATTGTTAAAAATAGAAATTATTAATATTAAACTATACTTGACTTATTTGTTGTTTTTATACATACATCAGTGCCTCTTTCTTCTAGGGTTATACCAAAAAGATAATTCAAAAATTGATGTGCCATGTAATCTTCATTGTATATTATATGCATTTGGAAGATAAAAAATTATGACAAAGGTGTCAGTGGAATAAACATACCTTCATTTTAAAATTTTCATATTTCATTAGCATAACCTCTAAAACTTCCTAAATGAATATCAAAAGTTTTTTCAGTGATATTGTATATCCTATCTGTGGATCACCACATAAACAGCATACTTGATTCCAGAGTCTTTAGAGACATCAGCCAAGTATAATGAAAAGAATGGTTGAGAAACATAAATTTAGTAACACTGTTCATTTCTTTTCACTATTGAATGAGAAGTTACAAATCATTTATATTCATAGTTTAAACCTTTATTGTTTTATTAAACATGTTTTCTGTTTTGTTGTTTTACCATATGGAGCAGTATCTTTCTATACAATAAAACAAATCACATTATGTTGTTTCTGGCAAATCATAACACCTGATCTGAAAATCATACCAACACACAGAGCTCTTAGTTATATCTCAGTAAAGTAATAAACTTGGAAGGGAATTTACATTATGACTTAGCAGTATCTATATTATTAGTAATTTGTGCCAAATCCAGTAGATTGAGGGGTAGTAGAAAAAATCTAAAATGAGCAATTTGGCATGCATGTTCAGTCAACAAATTTATAATTTACAAACAACTGTCAGACTTACATGTTTAAGAATCTGCTCTTTCTATTGATTATAAACATTTACTGAAGACAGATGGGGATAAGTAAATAAGTGGTTTCAAAAGAATGAAGTGATGGAAGGGGTTTGCTAAATATATCAACAAATAAAGAAGGTAGGAGGTTCTTATTTTATATTTTAGCTTGTCAACATGCAAAATTTGAGTTTCTAAGTGATTAGGCTCTATTGCAGTTTTATTGTAGAAATAATAAAAATGTAAATAGAACAACTTAGAGCACATGGGCCCGGCATGGCCAGGTGGTTTGGGCGCTTGATTCGCAATCTCAGGGTCGCGGGTTCAAATCCCCATCACACCAAACATGCTCGCCCTTTCAGCCGTGGGGACGTTATA